TTTGGCCACGCCCACTTTTGGTTCCATTATCATACTACTATTTCTCGCGGGGGACAATTTTGGGTAAAGTTTGGCTAGGTTTCAAATATGCTAACCCCTCCAAATAAGCGCTTAAACTTGGAAAAGAATAAGAAGAAGAATAATTAAAGCTGCAAGCAGCGTTGAAGGCCCTCGCAGCGAAGCGCCGCTGCGGCCTTATGGCGACCGCGGGAACTGCAGCGACCCTTCCCGGTCGCCATCGAGAACGCTCACGCTACCGTCACGCGCCTGTTCCCCGGAATGCGCATTCGCCGAACCTTTCACATAAGCTGCGACCGCATATATATCTATTGTAAGAATGTAGGGGGCGCACTTGAGTCAAATATTAAACAACAACACTACTGCGTCCATAAGTCCTCACTAGTCAAGCACCAAAAATCTGGTCCAGATCGGACGATATATCACTGAGATATAACAGTTTGAATTATCTAGGGGGCGCACTTGAGTCAAATATTAAACAACAACTCCACTGCGTCCATAAGTCCTCACTAGTCAAGCACCAAAAATCTGATGCAGATCGGACAATATATCACTGATCTATAACATTTTGATTTACCTAGGGGGCGCACTTGAGTCAAAAGTAAAACAACAATACCATTGTGTGTTTAAGTGCTCACTAATCACACACCAAAAATCTGGTCCAGATCGGATGACATATCACTGAGATATAACAGTTTGAATAATCTAGGGGGCGCCCTTGAGTCAAATATTAAACAACAAAATTAAAATGTCCATCAGCTCTCAGTAATGATGCACCCAAAATCTGGTCCAGATCGGATGACATATCACTGAGATATAACAGTTTGAATAATCTAGGGGGCGCACTTGAGTTAAATTTTAAACAACACTAACAATGTGTTTAGACATGGTCACACATTCTGCCATAAAAATTTGGTGCAGATCGGATGATATATCAGTGAGATATAAGGGTTGGAATATTATAGTGGGCGCTCTAGAGTCAAAAGTTAAAAAACATTACTAGTGTGTCCATCAGGGCTACATAATAATATACCAAAAATCTGGTACAGATCGGATGATATATCATTGAGATATAACTGTTGCAAGATTGTAGGGGGCGCTGTAGAGTCAAAATTTAAAAAACATTATTACTGTGTCCACCAGGGCTAAATAATAATACACCATAAATTTGGTGCAGATCGGCTGATATATCACTAAGACAAAACAGTTTGAATAATCTAGGGGGCGCACTTGAGTCGAATTTTAAACAACAATAACAATGTGTTTAGACATGATCACACATTATGCCATAAAAATCTGGTGCAGATCGGATGATATATCATTGACATATAAGGGTTGGAATATTGTAGGGGGCACTCTAGAGTAAAAATTTAAAAAACATTACTAATGTGCCCATCATGGCTACATAATAATATACCAAAAATCTGATGCAGATCGGATGATATATCATTAAGATATAAGTGTTGGAATATTAAAGGGGGCGCTCTAGAGTCAAAAGTTAAAAAACACTACTAATGTGTTCATAACTACTTACTAATGATACACCCAAAATCTGGTCCAGATCGGATGATATATCATTGAGATATAAGGGTTGGAATATTATGGGGGCGCTCTAGAGTCAAAAGTAAAAAAACATTACAAATGTGTCCATGAGGGCTTACTAATGATGCACCCAAAATCTGGTACAGATCATATGATATATCACTGAGATATAAGGGTTGGAATATTATAGGGGGTGCTCTAGAGTCAAAAGTTAAAAAACATTACTAATGTGTCCATCATGGCTAAATAATAATATTCCAAAAATCTGGTGCAGATCGGATGATATATCATTGAGATATAAGGGTTAGAATATTATAGGGGGCGCTCTAGAGTCAAAAGTAAAAAAACATTACAAATGTGTCCATTAGGGCTTACTAAAGATACACCCAAAATCTGGTGCAGATCAGATGATATATCACTGAGATATAAGGGTTGGAATATTATAGGGGGCGGTCTAGAGTCATAAGTTAAAAAACATTACTAATGTGTCCATCATGGCTACATAATGATATAACAAAAATCTGGTGCAGATTGGGTTATATATCATTGAGATATAAGGGTTGGAATATTAAAGGGGGCACTCTAGAGTCATAAGTTAAAAAACACTACTAATGTGTCCATAACTGCTTACTAATGATGCACCCAAAATCTGGTCCAGATCAGATGATATATCATTGAGATATAAGGGTTGGAATATTATAGGGGGCGCTCTAGAGTTAAAAGTAAAAAAACATTACAAATGTGTCCATAACTGCTTACTAATGATGCACCCAAAATCTGGTCCAGATCGGACGATATATCACTGAGATATAACTGTTGGAATATTCTATGGGGCGCCCTTGAGTCAAATATTAAACAACAAAATTAAAATGTCCATAAGCTCTCAGTAATGATGCACCCAAAATCTGGTCCAGATCGGATGAAATATCACTGAGATATAACAGTTTGAATAATCTAGGGGGCGCACTTGAGTCAAATTTTAAACAACACTAACAATGTGTTTAGACATGGTCACACATTATGCCATAAAAATCTGGTGCAGATTGGATGATATATCATTGAGATATAAGGGTTGGAATATTATAGGGGGCGCTCTTGAGTCAAAAGTTAAAAAACATTACTAATGTGTCCATCAGGGCTACATAATAATATACCAAAAATTTGGTGCAGATCGGATGATATATGATTGAGATATAACTGTTGCAAAATTGTAGGGGGCACTATAGAGTCAAAATTTAAAAAACATTACTACTGTGTCCACCAGGGCTAAATAATAATACACCATAAATTTGGTGCAGATCGGCTGATATATCACTGAGACAAAACAGTTTGAATAATGTAGGGGGCGCCCTTGAGTCAAATATTAAACAACAAAACTAAAATGTCCATCAGTTCTCAGTAATGACGCACCAAAAATCTGGTTCAGATCGGATGTTGTATCACTGAGATATAACTGTAAGAAGAATGTAGGTGGCGCTGTGGAGGCTCTTGGCCACTTATCATGGAAACCTGTTCAGAGGTGGATAATGATCAATCATAGTGATTTTGGTTCATCTGGGATCAAATCTGTGCAATTTAGAGCCAAACGTATTGCAACGGCGTCACTTTTTAATTCGCCATGGCGCCACGCCCACATTCTCAAGCTATAACTGTTTTG